GCAGGTAATTGACAAGGAGGACGTTGGCAGCTGACAAGAGCCTCCGCGCACGCGGATCATGGTCGTTGACTCGTACATGTTGTTGTTGAAGGTGGCATTGCGCACCGTGACGTTTTGCCCAAAGGTCTCGAGGCCAACGGTGGCTTGAAGCCTTAAAGCAAACCGGTCAGAGCCCTGGAGGAGGGTGTTCCTGCTGATATGGTGAATGTAGACGGCAAGCGCCATGTTAAGCCCGACATTATCAGAGAAATGGCCAAAGACGGAATCCTCTGCCAGGGTGTCGGTTCCAGAAATGTTGAGGCCATACCCTCCCAATTGCGCCAAGGACTTGACGTTGCGCATCATTGTATTGTTGGTCGATGGGCCCGGCATGATGTTGCATGTATTGAATCCAAGAGCAAAGGGGAGACCATCCGAGTTGAGGGCCCAATTGATGTTCAAGTTCTCCAACAGCGTGTCTGTGCCTTGAATCAGAAGAACGGTGGAGAGGCCAAAAAGGACGCTCTCCCGGAGTGTTGTATTGACCGCTTCCTCCTGAACGAAGATGCAAAAGTAGGCATCAACGTACACGTGGTTCGGTTGTTCCATCCGATGGCAAGTGATTTGGTCCATGAGTACGTGGCTGGCAGCCGTCATGATACCCCCGCCAAAATTGTTGTACGTCACGATATTGCGCAGCACGACGTTGGCAGCTTGCGTCGCATAAATGCCTGGCATAGGTTGCGTGGAGACTTGTGGTAAAGTTTTCAACAAGTAAGTCGTTGCCGCGAACGATGGCCATTGGCGAGAAGTAGCCCATTGCAAAGCTCGCTCTGCTGGAGCAAGATGGAAACGCCAACGATGTCATTACCCTAAGCGGAAATTCCTTCGATGTTTGAGGCCCCTCCGCCGAGTGAAAAGCCATGCCAGGAACAATGGTGAGCTTCATTTTGGGACATCAAGTTGTGCCAGCCCCTGACCCGGATGCCGATGTAGCTGCTTCTGGTGGCAACGATGCGAGACAGGGTATTGTGGCTAGCAGAAAAGAAGAGACCGCTCGCCACCTTGTTCCAACTCCATAATCAAGCAATCGATGGTGGTGCCATTTCCATAAACGGAAAGGGCTGCGGTGGTGGTGACCGGGGATAGGGGGTCAGGCCATCAGAGTGTGGTGCATGCCCA